CCAAGGCCAGATAGGGGCCTGAGTAAAGGAGGCCAGAAAATTTTAGATAGAAAAGCAGGCAGAGCACACGTCGTCGCGCAAAGACAAGTTCAAGTTCAAGTTGTGGATGAGGAGTAGCTTACGGTCCGAAGTCCGAAGTCAGCCGAACCATCACGTGAATGTTGAACACTCGGAAGCACCGAAGTTCGCCCGATGGCGTCTGAGAAGTGTCCGAGCCAGTGGAGACCTTGCGGCGGCGTCCATCCGTCGTGATAAGCGAAGACTCGTCTTTTCACCAACAACCATGGTCTCCTTCAAGATTCCTGTGCTCTTGGCCATTCTTCCCCATGTATTGGCTCTGTGGCCGATTCCAGCGACGTTCAAGAATGGTTCTGACTTTCTCGTCTTGTCTCCGACGTTCGCTATCAACGTGAACGTGCCAAATCCACCTCAGGATCTCCTCGCTGCTGTTTCGCAGACAAAGACCTATTTGAATACCGATCAACTCCAGGTATACCGCATACTCACTTGTACAACACCGAGTTTAGCTCACGAACAAGTTTACTTAGCGACTTGTGCCAGGTCGCGGTTCCTCCGATGCTGGCGCAGTTAAAGCGGCCCCAAGACTTCCCAGCTTGACCCTCACCTTACAGAATACTGCTTCCGTTCTCTCCATCTCGGAAGAGTCCGTCAAAGATATTTCCAACCGGTCAGAGGGATACACGCTCTCGATTCCGAACAACGGCAAGGCAGCTATTCTGTCGGCAAACTCGACGCTGGGGCTCTTCCGGGGCCTCACGACCTTTACGCAGTTGTGGTACGATCTCTCCGGCGTCACTTATACAAATGTGGCTCCAGTGAGCATATTGAACGATGCCCCGGCTTATGTACGTTACTTCTCTTCTCTTCGACTTGCAGCACGCCTGTCTCACCGTATCGAAGCCTTATCGTGGATTCATGCTTGACACTTCGCGCAACTTGTAAGTCTACCCTTTCATTACGTAAATCCAACCAACTTTTTCGATAGTTTCCCTGTTGCGGACATCAAGCGCACACTGGACGCCATGAGCTGGGTCAAGGCGAGTGCGCACTAAAGCGACCCCTCGCATAATCCTCATTTGCTTGCAGATAAACACATTCCACTGGCACATCGTCGACTCTCAGAGCTTCCCACTAGTTCTTCCCGAGTTCCCCGAGCTCGCGCAGCAGGGTGCATACTCTGCCACCGAAGTCTACAGCGCCGCCGATGTGCAGGATATCGTTTCATACGCCGCAGCCGTAAGCTTTCTTCCTTCCTTGCTGACTGGACGCCCGGCTGATAGTTCATCGTGCGCCAGCGCGGGATCGACGTCCTCATGGTAAGCGCTGTCGCACATATTCAATTCCCGAACGAACGAATAAATATGAATGGTGTCGTCCAGGAAATCGATAGCCCAGGTCACACCGCCATCATTGCGGCTTCGCACCCCTCCTTCGTGGCATGCAACCAAGCCAGCCCGTGGGCGACATTCGCGAACGAGCCGCCCGCGGGCCAGCTCCGCCTCGCGTCGCCCGCGGTCGTCAACTTTACCGCGAATCTGTTCACCGCGGCCGCGAAGGTTCTACCTGGGAAGTTCTTTAGCACCGGGGGCGATGAGCTTAATACCGAGTGCGTTTTACTATCATTATTGGGTAGTTATCGTTCACACGCCCAGATGCTACGCCCAGGACGCGCAGACGCAGGCGGACCTCAAGGCGAGCGGGAAGACGCTCGAGCAGGCGTTGAACACGTTCACCGTGGCGAGCCACAGCGCGCTTGCCAAGCTTGGGAAAACGCCTGTCGTTTGGGAAGGCGAGTGCCGCCGTTCTACTAATTTTCCCAATCTTCTTACATACATTTTCATCACTCAGAGATGGTTTTGGAGCACAATCTGACTCTATCGCAGGAAACTGTCGTCATGTGAGTCGGTCGACGTGCGATCCTCCTCAGGCTCCTGGTATATAATATCGATATGGCCTAGGGTTTGGATTTCTTCACAGGACGCGGCCGCCGTTGCTGCACTCAACTTCAGGCTTGTCCACTCCCCGTCAGACTATTTCTACCTCGTAAGCATGTTGCGATAATAGGCGAAGGGCTTCAATTTAGGGGGAATTTAGGACTGTGGCGGTGGAGAATGGATTGGCGATGATCCGACTGGGTTCGTCCTGTCCCTCCTTGATGCGATTTATCTAACGCCATTATCTGCGCGCACAGAAATAGCTGGTGTGATCCGTTCAAGACCTGGCAGCATGTAAGCTCGCAGAGCCGGAAATAAATTACGCTGATCCGTTTCATCCAGTCGTACACCTTCGATCCCCTGGCCAATCTGACCTCCGCCCAAAAGCACCTCGTCCTGGGAGGCATGTTGTTTCTCTTCCGAGCTTATATGTGCATCGTGTTGATCAGTTGTATTGCATCGCAGGCCAACAACTCCTCTGGACCGAGCAGTCCGACCCGAACAACATGGACTCGATCGTCTGGCCGCGCGCCGCCACCTCCGCCGAGATCTTCTGGACCGGCGCGACCCTCCCCGACGGGTCCCCCCTCAGCGGAACAGAGGCCCTCCCCCGCCTGCACGAGCTGCGCTATCGCATGGTGCAGCGCGGCGTCCGCGCGATTCAGCTCCAGCCGCAGTGGTGCGTGCTGCGGCCCGAGTTGTGCAACATCAATTCGTAGGCGCTGGTAGCCATTCCTGACGGACTTGATTCGTCTTTTTTTTTTTTTTGCGAGGTTCGATTAAGAAAATGTGTTTGGAAGCATGTATGTAGTTGATTTTGGCGAACCTTTGATTTGTATGATAAAGGAGGTCAAGGGTGCCAGTCATGAGGTAGGAACGCAGGAAGGTTGGCTGTATGAGGAAAAGACGAGGTGCACCTGCATCACCGACGTTGAAAAAATCAAGTGTCATGAAAGCCTCAGATCTGACTACGGATCTGACCTCGAGCTGGGGTTGAAAAACGTTGGCTCGAGTCCCCACCGACTTGATCCCCACCCACGAGTTCCCGCCAATATTCCGAACCATGAGACAACTTATGCTACCCAAAAATGCAATTGGTGGAGTGTGTCTTAGTATGACACGCTATTGTTGAACTGTGGCCGCGTAACGGTCCTAGTACTACTACTACTAGTAGGGTAAATTCGACCGGCACGTGATCATGTTCAAAAGTTGAATTATTATTCAGCTGCTCTGGGCGGTTCCGTGTCTGTCAGCCACCTGGTCATATTTCGGCGTGGTCGGCGTGGCGTGGTGGGCCCGGGTAGTGTGCTCGTCGTGCTGACGGACGTCTCTGCATGATGCCCTTCCATGATATCATTTGGAAATTTTCGATGCGAGGCCTCAATTTGTACTGCTCCAGTGACTCAAGTCAGTGAGGAATTCTCATTACAAAGTGACTGATCAATCTTGAACGAACATCTTGGGCGTGCTACGCATGTACAGACTACGTGATACAACAAGACAACAAGAGAAATAATTATACACCAATGAAAAGCACCTCTATTAAACGATTCCAACCGATTCGAGTTTGTCCAAGATAGATTCGGGGACAATGCGATGACCGCGGCATCTGCGGGCACCCCATGCAGCCTGTCGTCTATTCAAGCCATTCGCGTAGGCGTCAACAAACTTTCGTGAGCGGTTGGCAAATCTGAAACAATCAGATTGATGAATGTACACTCTGTCGGATAACTTACCGTTGCATCATAGGAAGCAAAACGGCGGCTAATGCTTCCCAACGTTCCGTTCTAAGTCATCTTCCCGAGAAGATTCGGAGAAAAAATGATAGATCCATTCAAGCTTCACGAAGTCGGGATGGTTGAACTTCAACTTGAAAAACATAGGTTAGGTTAACTTCAACTTGCATCAGCAAACCCTGGATTTGACCATAGTTGACCATAGTTGGCCATAGTTTGCTGTAGTTCCCATAGTTGCCATAGGACTCTGTAGTGGTCTGTAGTTTTCAATCAAAGCTACATAGTTGTACATAGTTTTGTGGACAAGCTGCATAGTTTCCCATAGTTTTTTTTTTTTTTTCCCTGTAGGCACCTGAGCCTCAAGGCAGTTCAGATCTGCAATTAGTTTTCAACAAGCCACAGTATTTCATTGAACTATTTACAGAACCAAAATTCTTCACAAAAATATACATAGTCTAACTCATCTGTCAGGATGATGTTTAGAATAGCTCTATGAATTTATTTTGTGTTTTGCAGCTGAAGACTATGTATGATGATGATATTACTGGAGTCAGGAAGCAGACAATTGTTGTTGGGAGGGAGGTAACCCCTTATACTGAACAGCTCACAAGATTTTGAAATGGTTGTGTTGCTGAATGGTTATGCTGCACTTTTGCATTATGGCCTGTCGCCGGTGGTCGCCGGTTCGACTCAGGCAGGTTGCACTTTATTCACAAATCGAAAAACTTTAGTTAGCAAGTTAACAAACGCTGATATGCAACTTAAAGAATCGTGAGCCCTCCCTTGATGAAAGGGAAGCGGACATACTTTTCTTTGGTCGTTCTTATGTTAAAAAGCTTCGGAAACCACCAAACTACACAGAACTATGTAGCACTCCTGCCAAACTATGGAGAACTATGGAGACCTATATAGAGGGTACCCTTCCTATGGCAAATACAGCAGCTATGGCAACTATGGGAACTATGTAGACCTAGGTAGCACACCCAGGGTTTGCTGATGTGTTGTTCTGAACAATTGAATGCTGACCCTCAGGTAGGAGTTTAAATTCAGAAAAAGTGCTACCTACTACTGTACGTTATGCCTTCACCAACAAAAAATTCTCCGACTGCCTCCGCTCTCCGGTGATTTTCTTTAGAAATTCAACCAAGGGCATGTGATCTATGTTCAACCTAATTTTTACTTTGTTTGATTCCTGTCGATTCGAGGGTTGATGGGGAAAGAATTGACTCAGAGTAAAATGTGCAGAGAAAGGAAAAGGAGAGACGCAGGAGAATATATAAGAGAAAAAAAACACCTTTCCGACATAGTATGGCCCAGCCCCGAATTGAACGGGGTGCTTCCTCTGAAAGTTGAGACCCTTCACTTTTACATCAAAAGGACATGTTACCACTACACCACTGGGCCTTCCTCTACACTCTTCACGGGGAGCTATGAGGGATATTTATTTTGAGCACCAAGAAAAAATATGAAAAAACTTCATTTAAAGGCGTTGAATGGCCCAGCCCCGAATCAAACAGGATGCTTCCCCAAAGTTCAACTCAATCTCAGCTTAGTAAAGGAGGACATGTTACCAGTACACCACTGGGCCTTCCTCCATATTCCTCACGGGAGCTGAGAGGGATATTTATTTCAAGCATCAAGAAAAGAGAAAAAAAAATCCATGGATGGAATGGTGTATGGCCCAGCCCCGAATCAAACGGGATGCTTCCTCTAAAAGTTGAAATCTTCCATGCGAAATGAAGAGGATGTGTTACCAGTACACCACTGGGCCTTCCTCTCTAACTCCAGAGTCTGAAGTTGAGTCTACTAATAGTACGAGAATAAAGCACAGAAGTTGTGTGATAAGAAAAAAAGGGTGCAGTTACAGTACAAATATATGGCCCAGCCCTGAATCAAACAGGGTGCTTCCTCTGAACACAACCCTGATGTTTCAGATGAAGAAAATGTGTTACCACTACACCACTGGGCATCCCAATCCCTTCACTCCAAGGTCAATTGAATATCTGTTTCTGAGCACTAAAAGTGAAAATAGATGGCCTAGCCCCGAATTGAACAGGGTTCTTCCTCTGAAAGGCACAAATCTTCACATGAGATGAAGAGGATGTGATACCAATACACCACCAGGCCATTCTTCTCTTTTCCTCGGCTCTAAGTAAGTCTGTTGTCCAGAAAGAATATTTGGAGAAAAAAAAAACACAGATCATTGGGAATGGCCCAGCCCCGAATCAAACAGGGGTCTTCCTCTGACTTAGACTTCTGTTCATCAAATGAAGAGGATATGTTACCAGTACACCATTGGGCCCTTCTTACTCAGCACCAGAGTTCGGAGTCGAGTCCAAGTAGAGGAGTTGTGTGATATGTAAGGGGAAAAAATGTTTAGAAAGAAAACAAATGGCCCAGCCCCGAATCGAACGGGGTACTTCCTCTGACTTGTGGGAGTGCGCTAAGGAAAGAGGATGTGTTACCAGTACACTACTGGGCCGTCGAGTCTAAGTAGAGGAGTTGTGTGATATGTAAGGGACAAAAAAGACATTTACAATGATCAAATGGCCTGGCCTCGCATCGAACGAGGGTGTCTCCTTTGTACTACAAGAATTGGCGGCAACATATAAGGAGTGTGTTACCACTACACCACCAGGCCATGGTTAAATGGCATTGGAGGTCACAGTGAAGGTCGAGTCTGAGCTCAGAGCTCCGACTTCAAGTTGGAGGTAATCGTGCTCGGAGGCCGAAATAAATATGTTGCACAAATTTAACACGTTCGACTGACATCCTCTTCGACTGAAGTGCAGATTTGGCGGGAGGATGGTAGGCGGACATGGACAGGAAGTGTCATGTCAACGCTGAATGGCGAGAGAATCACGAACGCCGAACAACGCCGATCCGATGATGTCACCCAATCCCTCTTTCTTTCCTCCAACTTTCAAGTTTACATGCTCCCAATAAGGGCCTGATCGGTAACCGTTAATTCACGCGTGAATGTGTGAATTCTTGTAACGCTTCTGTCACGCATCATCCTTCCTCTTCCTCTTCGCTTCCCTCGACTGCTGGCGGCTACCATCCACTCCCCAGCTACGTCCAGATCATGGCCTCTTATCCCGGATCCTCTACCTTCTCTCTCGACTCCTCCGACAACGACGTCGCCCCCGAAATTCCCGACAATGCTGGACACTCTTTCACGGACCTGGAGACAAACTTCGCGCTGGATTTTTTGCATAAAGATCCGACTGCATACCTCAGTGGCAACGGATTCAAGGCCAAAGCACTCACCGAGATTTCTGCAGTACTCAAGAAACGGTTCCCAACGCGCCCCATTCGCTCCAAAGACGCCGTTGGAAACCGTCTGCGATACGTGATTATGGCATCGCTGCTCGCTGTCTTCGCGCTCATCTTCCTTCAGGTAAAAGGTGTCTACGAGGAGTATGATTTTGTGCGCGGAAAGAGCGGAGTTGGATGGGATGACGGTGAGAAGAAGGCCACTGCAGAGGCAGATTTCATCGCGAAGTTCACTGCGGTGCGTGCAGCTAATTCTCGCATCCAACTCTATGCTAATGGGACGTAGGAGTTTGGCGACAAGTACGCGAAGTGTTTCAAGAAACCGTGCCCTTACTACAATCGCCTCGCGGGCCTCTTTGGCGGCAACAAGGCCACCGGCGAGCATGTCCTGCATCTCACAAAGTCCAAGTCAAAGAAAAGCAAGTTGTCCTCTGCCTCTGCCTCCACATCTGCATCTGCGTCTGCATCCGCATCCCCCTCCGTCTCTGCCTCCGCTTCCGCTGCTGCTCCCTCGTTGTCACCGCAGAAGCGCGGCCCACTCCATCCTCTCGAGAACGACGCCATCGACATAAACATGGATTCTGCACCCAACCAACCCCCTTCCCCAAAGCCTTACGACGACGAGCTCCTCCCTCCCCCTGCCAAACGCCGCCGCCTCGACGACGAGAGCGAGAACATCGACGATGCGAAGACTAACGCTGGCGCACGCGACCACAACCGCTCTGCCTCCGCTAGCTCCAGCTCCGGTGGTCGTCGTGCCGCCTCCCGCAACGCCGAAACAGGAAGCGAGATCGCGCGCGGGTTGAAAGCAATCGGCCAGGGCATGTCTGCGCCCATCATCACCAAGGCGGACACCTCGCATGTAGACGAAATCGTGGATGCCTTGATTGCAGACCCCACCCTCCTCCCCGACGACCCCGACGGCGAATACTACGCCCTTTTCTTGGACGCATTGAGCGCGAACGAAATGCGCGCGCGTATCTTTATCAAAGCACCGCACCGCGTCCAGCGCATCGCCTTGCTCAAGCGCGTGTTGACCGAGAAGGAGATGGAGGTGCCGTTCAATTGGGTTTAGTCCTTTGCTATTTTCGTTGCTCATCGTGATCATCCCGGACCCACTTGCATTTTTCGCATTGTCTGTATTCCAGTGTATTGTTGTTACAATTTTGTACTACTCGTCGCGTTCTGCAATATAATGGGCCCACATGCTCATCATGATCCTGTCTCGACGCGTGTTGGCCCTATGTGACTCTTCCTCCGTGATTGCTAGGACACGACGCTCCGGAATGACTGCGCCGGCGAAGAATGCGTGGTCGTCGGGATCATACTCGTCGTGATTCTCGATGTCAAAAGAAAAAGAGTTGAGCTTGTCATGGATACAGAGGAAATTGTGAAGAGCTCCCGCCGCAGCAACAATCTTCGCCTGCACCTCATACGAATACTCGGGGCTTGAGATGAGGATGGGAAACTGCCGTTTTGAAACACCAAATATTCTCTCGATGGCATTTCGGAGTTTGGAGTGCCGAAGGTTGTACAACTCCTGTGGTGTCTCGGGTTCGCGGCCGCTGCGGTCCCACTCCTTCAGATGATAGCGGATCCCGATAAATGGAGCTAGAATGAGATCACAGTTTGCGAATCCGGCATCTCCGAGGTAGTAACGATGTGGGGGTAAGGCAAATCCGTTGCGACGTGCAGTATCAAGAAGTCGTCCATCGGCAGCCGTTCCTTCGTACCCAGGCATGATATAAGTGAAGCGCAGGTCAAAATCACATGCCGCCAGAACGTTCTGAGTCACCACTCCATGGCGATCTCGATAACGGACAGTATCAGCCGCGAGCACGAAGGCGTTGATGTGTGTGCCGTCGACAGCGCCTCGGCAATAACGAAAGAAGGGGAAATATGCGGCGTTGTTGGCAATTTTCGGGGGAGTTTCGTCTGTGGGGTTCTGGACATATTTCTGATAGAAGCTGCCCACCGCTATGTCGAGCACAAGGTTTGTATATTTGCTAATGGTGTCGTTCGACCGCTGAAAGCGCTCCATCAAGTCTCTCTGGCTGCTTGCGTGAACAAACCAATAGACAAATATGGCCATTTGTTCCGCCACCGTGGTGTGCCGGCTGTCGCTGAGGCCTCCGTTTGTGCTGAATTCCCAGCAAAGCAACAAGAAAGCAGCAGGATACATTCCTAGCTGGTCCAGACATCGTTCCGGGTGGCCGTTGATGATCTCATCTAACCAGTCCTGACCTGTGAGGATAGAGGTGTGGCGAGGGATAGGAAGGGGGCGTTCAAGATGCAAAAGACTCTCGGTACAAAATATAGTTGCAAGAGCGGCGGCATATAGAGCGTGTCGGCGGCGCTGGATCAGCTGGATTATCACTGGGGAAAGCCTGTGCACGTCGTTTAGATGCACTACGTGCGTGGCAGCCATGAGGACGCGTAGAATCAACGTAGAATTGTGCTTCAAGCGGCGGAAGTGAGCGTTCGCGAAGAGTTTGATGGATGTGACTGATTGTGACTTTTCCAGATTCACGCGTGAATTAACGGTTACCGATCAGGCCCTAAGCTCCCCCCGCTCGCGTGGCCCGTCGCCGGGGCGCTCCCCGTCCCACGCCGCCGCCTTGTCCGGCTCGGCGTCCTTCTCCCCCGCGCCCTCGACGGACCCCACCGACGAGCACACCGCGCACCCCGTCCTCCACCCCGGCCGCGTCGCCGTCGTCACCGGCGCCGCCTCCGGCATCGGCGCCGCCGCCGCGCGCGCCTTCGCCCGCCTCGGCATGAAGATCGCGGTGGCGGACGTCCCCGAACGCGAGCCCGCCCTGAGCGCGCTGGGCGCGGAGCTGGAGGGGGTGGTGGGGAAGGGGAACGTGCTCGTCGTGCCGACGGACGTAAGGGAGGTGGCGCAGGTGGAAAGGCTAAGGGACCGGGTGTACGAGGCGTGGAGCGAGGTGGGGGTGTTGCTCAATAATGCGGGGATTGGCGCGGCACCTGGGGGGGCCAATGGTGGGCTGCTTGGTTTCTCTTTATATGTCGATGTGTTGAATGGGAAGAATGGCAGGGACCTCCTGGGACGGACTCGCGTCGTGGCACGCCGTGTTCGATGTTAACCTGTTTGGCGTCGTCAATGTACAGCAGACTTTCGTTCCCGTGAGTACTCTCTTTCCTTGCTATCTGCCGCGTCCGATGTCGCGATAACGGCGTCCTGCGTCGCCGTGTATGCGGCGTGTCTGTTCCCGAGTGACTGACCGCGTCCGGGCACGCATCGCTCGAGTGGCTGACGCGCCCTCTGCCTTGCCGGAAACGGCGGCCCACTCGCGGCAGACTTGCTGGGCATCTCCGCGCCCCTACGGCCTTATGCGCGCGCAGGTTGGCGGCTGGCGGCTTGTCTATGCAACGGAGGCGTGCGAGGCGTCTCACTGGCGCCCAACACCACCCTCCCCGCGCTCCACGAAGTTGTGCGGCCACCGGTTGCGTCTCCGCTCGGTGCACGGCTTTCACTGGGTGGCTGACGCGTCCCTGTTGTTCTCTGCGGCTGACACCCAGCGCCGAGTACCCAGCGTCTGCTCGAGCGATCGAGCCCACGCCTCACTCCTGTCATGCTAGCCCTCGCTTGGTGGCGGACGCGCTTCGACGGGGTACATGTACATACCAAGCCTCGGCGCGAGGGGGGGCGCACGAGGGAGCTCGCAGCTCGCGACCCGTGTGCCTCCTCCTTGGGGTGGCTGGCTCGGCGGAGGACGGCTCCTCTGCGTATGTATGTATGTGCGCAGCCCGTCCCTCGCTGGTGTGGGTGTGGGTGGGTGTAATACGGCGACGTCCCTCCCACCTCCCTCCTTCACCTCCCGATGAATCCGGCGCTAACCCCCAAAAAAAACAGGCCATGCTGCACCAAGAAAACCCCGCGATGGTGATCAACACGGGGAGCAAGCAGGGGATCACGAACCCGCCGTGCGTGCTCTTTTGCTCTCTCTCTTTTCTCTCTCTCGTCCTTCCCAATGAGTCCAATTCCAATTCCAATTTCAATTTCAATGTGATCCAATCCTTCCTACGACAATCCCGTCCTCCTGCCTGCCTAACTTACGAGAAGACGTTTCGTATCTACTATACATAAACATCGCATATTCCTCGAGTCCCTTTTCTCCTCTTCTTGATTCTCCATTCCCCCCTCGTTCGTCCACGTTTCTGCGCGCCCGTCCGTGTCCGGCTCCCTCCCTCCTTCACACCAGTACACATCACCCTCCCCGGCTCGCGCCCCCTTCCCACCCGTTTCCATTCCGCCTCCCTCGTCGATCCTCCCTCCCGCCTTCCCCTGCGCCCTCCTTCCTCCCTTTCGCGCCGGATCCGGAGTACGTGCGCGTCCCCGTCCCC